CAGGAAGGGAACACAAATGCCTCTGCAAACATCTGAAATAGCACAGGTGAGCAAAGGCAAACTCTGCTCTGCAGAGCAGGAGGGAGGGAGCCATACATTGCAAAGAGAAACAGTGTTACAGGCAGTAACCTTCAGAACTGAAAGAGACATATTTCTATCCTTTACAAAAGGTTAAATCTTCGCCCGAAGACCTCTCAGCATCTTCTGCAGAGTTCTAAACGATCTTTATAGAGTCACAGCATTGTTTGAGTTGGAAGGGACCCTAAAAGGCCATTTAGTTCAACTCCCCTGCAATGAACAGAAGCACCCACACCAGATCAGAGTGCTCAGAGCCCCATCCAGCCTGACCTCGAGCGTCTTCAAGGATGGGGCGTCCACAACATCTCTGGGCAACCTGTTCCAGTGCCTCAACACCTTTATTGTAAAAAACTTCCTCCTTATACTCTAGCTGAATCTCTCCTCTTTTACTTTGAAACCATTTCCCCTTGTCCTATCACAACAGATCCCCCTAAAGAGCCTGTATCCTCCTTTCTCACAGCCCATCTTTAGATACCAAAATGAAACATGAGACAAACATACCAAGATAAACGCAGGCACTCTGCAGCTTCCTAAAATCCCCGCAAACTTCACAACGAGAACGGAAAAGATACAAAAACACTACGAAAGTACCAACTACATCTTGAATTTAGGAGAAAGAAAAGGTGGAGATAAGGTTACGTGGTCGTTAATGACTGATGCCTTTTAACGCAAACCAGTTCTGAGAAAAGTTAACAGGAAGTACCCAACGAGGTTACTGCCAGCACGACGTGAAATCGAGAGAACCTCCTTAACCAGGAAGTTGGGAGAAGAACCACAGAACACCGAGCACGCCCGGCAGCAGCCCCATCCCCAGCACGGGGCATCTTACGCCGCGCAGCTCCTCGCCAGCACCTGCTTGGGCGGCGAAGCCCGCAGGAGGCGAGTGGGGCTCGGCCGGGGCGGCTCCCACTTGCGGGGCACGGGCCAGGGTCCGCCACCTACCGGATGAAAGTGGTCTTGCCGGTGCTGTACTGCCCCACCAGCAACACCATGGGCTTGTTCTCGAAGTCAGCCTCCTCCAGGGCGGGCGAGTGGAACTCATGGAAGCGGTAGTGCTCCTCCAGCGGTAGCAGCTTGCGGAGGTAGAGATCCCGCAGCCCTCCGGTCACCGTCTGCACCACGTCGCTGCCGCCGACTCCTCGCTCCCGACCGCCGCCCTGCTTCCCCAACCAGCTGAACATCCCGCCGCCTCCTGCCACTCCACTCCGCACCGCACCGCACCGCACCGCTCTGCCCGCAGCGCCGCTCCGCTCGTCCCTCCCCCGGCACGGCCCTGCCCGACGGGGAGGCGGCGCCAGGGCCGGGAGCGCCTGGGGGGGAGGAGGTGGCTGTAGCCTACAACATGGCCCTAACCGAGCCGCCCCAACAAACCCGCCTCCAGCAAATTAAAGGTTTTCTCCACTGCGGAGCTGATGCTGAGGGCCCTCGCAATGAAACCCGGCGGCTCTTCTAGCAGCTCAGCCGTCTGGATGCCTTTCGTGTTTCCCTGCTGACGGCTCTCTGTGTCACCGGGCGCAGCCGCTCCGCTGCCGCATTAGGTGCTGTCCTAAATGCGGAGGAAATTCCCCCGATGGCATTCGTGTTTTGCCGTCCAGTTCAACCGTAGGTTTCGGTAGCACGTTCAGCCATCCGGGAGGATCATTTTTTCCACTCATTTTGCAATAGATTTTAGCAGAATACATGAATATGCCAAGACATTGAGGATATCAGTAAAATGAATACTTTTTTTTCTCCCTCCACTTAAAAATAAATAAATAAATAAAAGCTCATTTTCCCAGTTAAAAGAAAAAAAAAAGTGGGGATTTTCCTCTGAATCTGTGTTTAAAAAGAACGTTGGAAGTGCTTCCTTTGTGTTGCCATCTGACATCATTGTTTGTTCTGCAATATCCCTATAATCTAAATCCCTTTTGGCAGGCCCAGCACCTTACTGAGCCTACTGACCCACAGTTTTAGCTATTTACCTTCTTTCCTTCTCACTTCCACGGGGACTGTTACCCTCTCTCTGTGCTCCCTCTCCTTCCCAAGCACATCATCAGGTTGAGTTGTGCCCTTTCCCTGCCACCCTCCTTGTGCTGTTCTCTAAAATAACAGCTTCCAGCTGTACCAGCGCTCTTCAGCCTCGCTTCCTTGCTTCACATTTTATTTAGGGCTGCACACATGTTTTGCAACCCTTTTGTTGCAATTTCCATGCTGAGTCTAAACATTTTATGCTGCTTCACGAAGGGCCCCGTTGCCTGGCTTCCTCATTCCGTAAATGCTCTTACAAATTCTGAATGCTCTCATTATTTATCATCTGCAAAAATATCTGAATGTGGGGCCAGAGCTCTTTCCTTCTCGTCCTTGATAGCAGCCAGCACTCAGGCAACAGAGCATCAAAGAGGGCAAGGGAGTTGTGGTTCTTCCTCGGGCTGTCTGCTGCCTCTGGAATTGGTGGCTCAGTGCAGATTTTGCAGTGCACGCTGTTCCCTGCATTTCATTCCAGTTGTCCCTTCCTTAGGTTGCAGATGCCTTATCTCTTTGCCCCTTCTGTGGAAGCTGTTCCACCTCTTTAGCCATCCTTGTCATTCTCACTTGTGTTCTTGCTGAATATAGAGAACTCAGAGCTATGAGTTATTATTTCAGTCCCACTCTGTGCTTTGTGAAGTGGGGTAAAGTGCCCATTGTTCTTCATGACCCCTTCGTGGCGGCTGGAAGGCAGCAGGAAGGGCAAGGCAGTGCTTGCTCTCAAACACCTAGCTCTGCTTGTCTTCAGACTTCCTGCCTGCATGCTTCCTGCTGTCAGCAGGACAGTTTGCCCTTCAGACAATAAAGCTCCGACCATATGTGGGTAACTGGGAGTGCTTCCAGATTCCCAGGTCTGGCTGTGCCCTCTGGCTGCACCCATACTGTGAGGGGCACCAGCACACACACTCTGATTTCCATGGGATGTAACCCTCAGCACACAAGAGCTGTGCAGGCTCTGCAGCATGCTCCAGAAGGTGAGGATGTGCTGACCCCGGTGATAAACATTTTTACATCCCTGTGTTTCAGCTGGGAAGAGACCCTGACCTTGAGAGCAAAGGCATTTGTAAGGCTTCCATTTCTGGCCCACAGTCTCTTGCTGAAACATACTACAGGAGAACTGATGGGCAGGGAAGCCTATAGGAAGCATACTGAGAGCCTGCAGGCCTGTGGATATATGTCAGTAACACTGAATAGAAGCTAAACTTACTTTAGAAAAAAGAATAATCAAAGACTGGGGATCCACCTGTCAAACCACAGCACTCAAACTAAGTTCAGTGTTGAACACAAAAGCAGTACAGTGCTTCAGCAATTAGAAACTCATACCTCTCATTTAGCCATCATAGAATCAGAATCATTAAGGTCATCTAGTCCAGCTGTCAGCCCATCCCCACCATGTCCACATCCCTCAGTGCCACTTCCACACTGTTCTTGAACACCTCCAGGGACAGTGTCTCCACCACCTCCCTGGGCAGCCAGTTCCAATGCCTCAACTTCTCTTTCTGAGAAGAAATTCTTCCTAATATCCAACCTAAACCTCCCCTGGTGCAACTTAGGGCCATTCCCTCTCATCCTGTCACTGTTACCTGGGAGAAAAGGTTGATCACCTCCTTACCACAGCCTCCTTTCAGGCAGTTGTAGAGAGTGATAAAGTTTTCTCTAAGCATCCTCTTCTCCAGACTAAGCATCAGAGACACTTTAAGCTGTTTCACTCAGTAATCAAATGAACTGCTTTTCTCTCTCTTGCTGTCTTCTATATACTTGTCTCTAATCTACTCCTGCGTATTATAAATGAGTCTTACAAACAGCTACTGTTCTCTTCTGCAGATAACTTTAAGCTCCCAGATCATCCACACAGAAGAATGTCCTTCTCTATACCCCAGCAGAGCCTGATTCTTACTTCCCACCATGGTACCCAGCATTTTACAGAGTTCCAGTGAGGCTCCCATGAAGCGCCTTATCCAAGTGCTATGAAACTGCTTATCTATATCAGGAAAATGGACTGCTCATAACAGAGAAGCTAACTTCTGCTGGACTACTCAGCAACAGGTTAAAAAGTCACATGCAAATGAGCGACATTAAGAATTTTAGAGCTGCTGTACCTCTGTTTCTCCTTTCTTTTCAAATGTAATAGTCTCAAAAATCTTTGCATTTGTAAGCCTTCAACATGTAGCACTAATGCTTAAATGTGATTTAACTAAATAAACTAGTGTAAATCAATTCTCATAGAGCAGAGCCGTAAAAGGAATTTAAATGGTGTCAGGCTCCTGGGGCACTTCACACCCAGGTCTGAAGTAAGTCTGCATCTCATGTTTAAGTTGGCTTGCTAGTAGAGGAAGAGGCTCCTAGAAGAAATTTCTATAACATGTATTTGCTGCAAAAAATATTTATTTCCTATTACTCTGACTTGAAAAAAAGTATTTTCTTGTATAAAGTTTAATATTTATTTACATTCACATAAAGAATTCATAGCTCCCAAATAGGTTTTGATTTAGAAACAATGGATTTTGTTCTCTGTTGCAGTTCCAGACTTACGCTCCTCTCTTATTACAGTGCAGGTAGAAAATCAGCAGCCAGTGCCAGCTTCCTCATGCCCTCATGTCCATAAAACACAGCCTTGGCCTGAAGGGTCACTTCTGCAAGCAGGAGCACAGCACCTTGCACCAAGCTCTACTCCAGGGCTTGTCAGCAAGGGAAGGACATTAATTCATTAAGGAAGAGCTCAGCCTTGTGTGTTTACATCCTTCACTGACAGACAGGCTGCAGCACTTCCGATAACAAAGTGTTTTCAGCATTCTTCAGCTTTTCACTACCTAGGCAACTTCCTTTCTTCTTCTTCTTCTTCTTTTTTTTTGTTTTTGTTTTTTTTTTTTGTCTGTTTTTTGTTTTGTTTTGTTTAATTAGCAGTGCTTGTGGATGTTTTATTTCATTTTCCCTACTGTTGAGCAGGTGGGCAGATGCTGGGACACCTCTCTGTTGGGGACACCCATGTCATCATCACCAGGAGGTGGTGGTTTTTGCAGTGGTTGCTGTTTCTTTTGCTGCTTTTTCCGTTCCACTGCTGCACGCAAGGCCTGAAGAATCAAGTCTTTATTATTCTGGACGTTGTAGTAGCTTAGGTTCACCAGTTTGTCAAAATCTTTCTCTGAATAACTCAGGTTGTTTATGTAGTATGGACCACAGCTATTGGTAACATCAACATCACCCTCTGCCATCTCTGAGGGACTACGTCTCACCCCTAAGGGACAAACAGTGACTTGGTTAATCAGCAGAACAGCCATTAGGGTCAGGCACCTCTCAGGCATGCACCCATAGTTGATTACAACCCAAAGATTTCCCTTCAGAGGCCTTTTATTGCTGGGATAATTTTACTGCTGGGGCAAGGTGGCAGCCAGGTCACCAAGCCATGCTTGGTGCTGATGCTCCCCAGCCCTCATTTTGCTGCCGCGTCCTGGTCATTGCAGCAGCACCTTCTATTTCCAGCTAAGGTGGCAAGTGAATCATGTCTACTCTTTCCCTCTTTCTTTCCTGTCTCCCAGAGCAAGTAACCACAGCCAGGATTTTACTACAGCAGTTTTTTTCCAGGCAGTGAGCTTTTGATGCCATTGCCAGTTTCTGTTCCTTCTTGCCCTCCATATTTTACATCCCTCACTGCTGTATCTCCAGAATAGACTGCTGAAAATCCAGACATCTCAGTGATTCAAGCTTTCCAGATGCAGAGCTGCCTTTTCAGCAACCTCAGCTCTCCCTTGGCTCTGCATAATCTGCTCATCAACTCTTGTTGCATGCTGGAACGAATTTTTAAGAGATACAGAAAACAGACCTCAAAAGTGACATTCTCTTGTCTGAACTCAGAGATTTCACAGAGCCATGATCGGAACACAGCCCGGCAGCAAATGGCATAGGTATTTTCCGTAATTTCTTCAAGCTACCTGCTGCTATAAAAACTACAAGCTTTATGTAATGTCAGTTGCTATGCTGGACTTAATGTTTCCCGAGATTTGGCTGAGATACTGACAGAACCTTTCAAGCCCAATTCATCATCCCGGTATAATCAGCATATACATCACAGACCCAAGGAAAACAACCAGGCAAGTAGTCCCACAAGTGTAGTCTCTGGAAATATTAGATTCATCATATATGATGATCTGCAGACAAATTCTATTAACTTGTTAAATGAATTAAATAACAGAAAGCTATTTCAGAACTTGATTGCAGGCTATCAGAGAGCAGACATTTATAGGAACCTCCACAGCGTGTTGTTGGTACTTGGGAAGAACATCCAAGGCTTATCCTGGAATCACAAATCTCAACAAATTCTTGGGTATCGAAAGTGTCAAGTACACATCATTTATTTTTTTTCTGCCTTCATATGTCACCTGTGAGTCAGAAAAAGGTTGATCTCAAGAATACATTTGGGGCAGTAGTTACTGGATGTTTTGTTTTTACATTTCATGCACCTATACCACCTCAGGACTTTTGGTTTTCAGTACACTGTGGGGCTTTGAAGTGATTAAAAAGTGATCTCATAGCATGAAGTAGGGATTCTAGTTAGAATCAGAAGCAGTAACCAAGACTTTTGACACTATCAGAGGTAGAATAGAGCTCTGTCAAGATTCATCTGTTTTGAAACGACTGGCAATGTTGCTCTTTAAATTCCTTAAAGTTTTAAAATAGGGCCCACTGAAGTGCATAGAAACTGACTGCGTGCCTCAGCTATAATTTTCATCACTTCACCAATTCACACTTTTGTTTTCAAGGTTATCTACATTGACTACAAGCCTGGAAATGATTTTAAACAATGAAATCCTTCAGATTCCCAAGGGCGTTCTATAAGAGGCAAGGAGGAGAAGTATGAGAGGAAATAGCCCTGCTAATTTCTGCCATTGCAGATAAACAGAATACACTTTTCGTTGTTTAATTCCAGAACCTACCTATGAAAAGCCAAAATAAATAAACAAATTTTGAAGAAGGGCATTTTTGTTTAAGGCTGATCTCAGCTGCTGCTGTACTTTTGAGGAAAATTTATGTATTTTCATCTCTTTGGTACGGTTCAGATATAAGAAGAGGGAATTTGAGCCTACAAGTGTTTACAGGGTGGTCTGAATAACAGATATTGTACAGTAGCAAAGACAAAGTAAAAGGCTGCCTCTGACGATGTGGTTGGTGACTATAAACTTACCAGGTGCTTTGTATTCCCTGAAGGTGTCATTTACCAGAGGGAAGAATATTACAATAGGGGTTTCTGGACTCTCCTTTTCACCAACAATGTAGCATTCCTTCAGATGTGGTGTTTCCTGATCATCTGGTACCTCCTTAGGGAAAGGAATTCCTTGTTTTGCAAAGTACTCAGAGGCTTCTTTCAGAGGCTAGTTTGCCATCATATGAAAAGAAAATGAAATAAAGCATCAGAACATAGCAGAGATATTCTGAATTTGACCAAACTCCAGCTTTACCAGGAAGGCTTGTGGGGTTAGGGCCAAGTTCTGACAGATTATGGCATGTATCCAATTAAGGTGTTATAGGCAGCCAGTGGAGCCCAGCTCTGGAAGGCCAGGTAGCAGGTGGTCTGAGTCACACACAGCTCTGCAGTGTCTGCATTACAGAGTCACAACTAAGTTTTTAAACATTTTCAGCTGTATGGGTTCTACATCTAACTGCCTTCAGATCAAGTGAAACACATTCACACATAAAATGAGCGGGATCAGTTTCCTAAATGCTTACTTTACTGATAACAGCATAGTGCTCAATGAATGCATGTGACCCTGGTAAACTGTTAGCTTCTTACTGCTGTCTAAATATTGAAAAAAAAAGTGTTCTATGAGCAGAGGATTGGCCATTCTGGGAAGTGAATGATGAAGCAGAGAGGCCATTATAGAGGAATGTATAATACTCACCCTGGTCTGGGAACCTGAACTGTAATTGAAATGCAAAATGACATCCACTTTCCTTTCTGGTCTCATGAGTGGTGGGTAACTGGTGGCAAAAACAAATGCAGTGTCGATCAAGATGAGGTAGTCTGCTGCTCCTGTCAGGTGGTTGGGCTGAGAGTCAAGCTCGCAGTCTAGAAAAGAAGGATTTGTTTTTCAGGGGGGTGCTCAGTGCAAGAGATGCTCTGGCATTTTTAGGAAAGTCAATTATTAAAAAAAAAAAAAAAAAAAAAGAGAGAGAGAGAGAGAGAGAATTCAGCTTTTTTTGGGTGGTTTCAGGCCTACCTGTGTAGTTGATAGCTACAGCTTAGTCATTTCTGGGTTCCTCTTTCCGCTATTTACTTTGCAGTTTCTTTTCCTTTTCTCTGAGATGTTAACTTGAGGTTCAGGAAAATAGTGTTAATTCCATCCCCTAGTTTTGTTCACAACTCTGATCAGGCCAATTTTTTTCAATAGGGGAAAAATTAAAATTGCAACTCACTGTCTCAACAAAATAAAGATTGAATGTGCTCAGTGCTGGGCGTGCAGTGAGAACAGGCACAAAGGTATTAAGGTAGACAGCCATAGCTCCTTACAGAACATGGAAGATCTGATACAGACTGAGTACAAGCTCCCAGCTGGTGCAAGAAGGAACACTGTTACGAACATCCTGTCTTTATTACAAGTGAGAAGGTAAGATGAAACAGGGCTCCAAACCACACCTCTTGAGTACTATCCAGGCAAGAGACAGCATATGATGGCATGAATCCCCTGCCACAAGAGTGTGGGCTGGTTGGCTGGCACACCAGCAGGTGTACACTGATTGATTACTTGCTAGGCTTTGGAAATTTCTTAGGAACTTACTTTTGAAGCTTCTTCTACTGAGTAATTTTACCTTTTGGCAACAGTTTCAAATATTATCAGAGAATGGGAACAGAACTGAAAGGCAGTCAGCTTGACAACCCACTCAGCATTGCATGCTTTTAAGAAGGATGGTTTAAAATATACTTAAAAGTGGGATGCTATTACCATACCTTTCCATTTAGAAAATTCGCTCTCTAGGTAGTTGTTGTTCATCTGGAGGCCTTTTAGGAAGTTAGGGATTTCTGAAGCTGCTGGACGTAACGTGACAACATCTCGGAAGATGTCTGAAAAGCTGTCGGTGGGACAAACCACTCGAGTTTCCAGCTCATTCGGTCTTTTAGGGAGCAGGGTTTCATCATCTGTAAAGGAAAGGTTAACAGTCTTTTATGTGATAGCACTGTTGTCATACACAGTGTCACACACATGTCATATACATGTCACTACAGTCATAATTTGTCTTAACATGTTTGGGAAAACGTTGACTTCTTGCTCTTTTTCGTACCACAAATCTCAGTTTTCATTGAAGCTTTGAAAAATTCGTTTCTTCTCAGCTTCTCAGCTGGTAGTAGTAAAAGCCTGGCTTGTACTGTACTTCACCGTATATGAATCCATCTCTTTCTTTTGTTTTTCTTCGATTTTACCTATTACAACATCCTGCACTTGCCCCATCTTCCTGTGCTACTTCACATTAATATCTCACCACTATTCAAAAAAAAAAAAAAAAGGGGAGGGGCGGCCGAGCAAGAGGGGAGAATACAAAATTGTTCTTTACTAGCAAACTCCTTATTTAAACAATTAGAAACTAACCCCCTACAAATACAAGAAAATAAATCATTTTTGCTACATTTCTCTTCATTTCTCAGTTTGTAGTATGTCTGCATTGTATGTTTCTTCCTGAAATCCCACCCTGTGGGTGTTAACTTGTTGGTGGGTATTGCAAATCTCATCCTTATGATTAGTTTGGAAGGGCCTGCAATAGTACTTGAGTTTGAGTTTTGTGGGATCCATAGAGGAAAAGATCATTCTTTCTTTTCTTTCAGTGGAGCTTCTTGCCACAGTCAAATTTCCAAGAGAAGAATTGGAAGCAAATGGATTGCAGAGGAGGTCTCCAGTCACTCCTACTATACAGGAACATAAAGGAAAGAAGAAAGAAGAAAGAAGAAAGAAGAAAGAAGAAAGAAGAAAG